TATTTATCCCTTAACCTTAAACTGAAGCATCGGATATTTTTATTCTCGTCAAATCATGTAGACACACGCAACATGAATGAAGTATATAACATTTCATTTGTGCTAATAATACTCCGAATTCATGCTTTATCGGTAACGTCGGGTATTGACACTAAAATAGTAACAGGGTTACGAGCCCTATGAACGTGTAACAGAAAAAAGCATTGGATGATAGGTATATTCTATACCTAGTCGGTGGTTATATCATATACAGTGAAGGAATAATTAGAAACAATGAAGAATAATGAATAAATTAATGATTATAAATTATAATCTACATGTTACCTAGCAAATCATTCTTTTAGAATTTCTTGTTTTTTCTACTGATTTTTACAAACACGAATAGTAATGTAATTATCGTAAAATCATATTGAATACGTTTTTCTGTTTAAAGATCAAGGACTTACGAGCGCAGTGAGCAAATTCATTCAAGATAAAAAACTCGCAATCACGGTCGTGAATGAAGTTAAATCACGACCGTGATCGTGATTCGGCGATCACTGTGATAAATCACCGTTAGTGATTTTGCACGCCATCTCTAGTGTACACAGGTTCGGAAACTCCCGTGGTGGGGGTGATCCCTTAAAGAAATAAAGTGTACAGTAATATTTTTATTTAAGTTGTTAGCAGATTTCATTTTCGCGCCTCGGAACTGGATTTGTTCTCTGTTGAAACGTCAGTGCCAGTCAGTGCGGTTTTACCAGCAGCGTATGACGTCAACAACCGGTAAACGGTTACATTTTTTTTTCTCCCACTACACAACTTCCTGTGAAACGACGTTTCGCTTAAATCCGCGTACATAACAATCTCCTATCTCTCTTTGAACGTGTAGTAAGGTACACGTCACGAATATAAAGCTACCGATACCTATATAGTAGGATTCTGTGAAAGCTTAGGTAAGCTCTAAATCCTAACTACAACGCGAGCAACTGTAGTATAAAGCGTTCGGGATTACAATTTGTTCGTCTGTGTTTCACAACAAGTGCGTAAAATACAAACAGCTTGGTTATCTTCGTTGGGCGTCTCCTTTCATCATATTATTTCCTTCTTTCATAGTTCCTCACAAATTTACTGAAAGTTTTTGTAATTTCATTGTTGCAAACATTTTCTGTCAGTTGTTATTTGATAGCTAATTGGTAATTTTTGTTTAATTACAGATTTTTGAGATCCAGCCTTTTAATTGTGATTAAAACAACCAAAATGAGTTACGGGTACCAAGTATGTATAATTTATTCTTCCTGCAAGTTAGTTATTATGATACGTCAGTGTGTTTGACATTGCAAATAAAATTGTTATTTAATAATCTCAATGAATCATATTGATACTAGTGATAATTAGCTAGTGAAAGCTTTAACAACTGTATAATGTATAATTAATTGAATTTTTGTGCGACTATTAATTGTAGTAGTAATCAGAATTCATTAGAAGGCATTGTACATTAAAGCTTAAGTGTTATTTTAATTTGCACCTTAATATCAAAGGGACCGCCAGTGATTCAATTTCCGGGACATGCACCAGTACCAACATCATTTGGGGTTCCACCTGGTACACCCTCTGCTCCTGGTGCTGCCTGTGCCCCTGGTGCTGCATCTGTCCCAGGTGCTCCACCTCATTCTCAAGGTGGCAACATAGGTTTCATGAATGCTCCCCCTACATCTTTTGGAATGCCACAACCTTATTCCCCATATCCTTCAACTCCTTATCCAGCCCAACCAAATCATTCATTCCCAGGACAGTGTCCTGCCCAGGCATCAAGAGGACCCTCCATGCCTATGCCTCAATCTGCACCTTATTTATCCCAGCAAACACAACAATCATATCCTAATCAACCTTCTGCATACCTACAACAGCAAAACTATAATGTATATCCAAATCTTCGACATGCACCGGAAGCAAAAGAATGTTTCAGTGAATCCTCTCCTTATTCTTCCACTCCTAACACTTATTCAAACAATGCAAGCTTCTTTCCAGGCGGAAGCTATCCTGGGGGGCAGGGTATAGGTTCCCATTCTCCATATGGAGGTAAATCCACTTCTTCCCAACATACACGCCCAGCCCCCCGGAGAGATCAGTTTACACCTAAGGTGAGGCAGAGGAAATAAATATGGGAAACTGCACTAGTTACTTTCATTTTACACTATTCAAGGAAAGTAGCTCATGTAAGGTTCTTTGTTTATCTGTGTTACAGTTGTCCCCTACTGTTGTGCCCTACGGTAATTTCGATCCAAGAGCGGATGCGGAAATTCTGAGGAAAGCAATGAAAGGATTTGGTACTGATGAGACTAGTATCATTAATGTACTCGCTGCTCGTAGTAACTTGCAACGCCAAGAAATTGCTGTACAGTTTAAAACCCTGTACGGAAAGGTAAAAACGAAATTCGTACGGATTGTAGAATAGTGAAAATAACATACGTCTTCCCAAAAAAAAATAGGATCTTATTAAGAACTTGAAGTCTGAATTATCGGGCAATCTTGAGAAACTAGTTCTTGCTATGATGATGCCACTACCACAGTATTATGCCAAAGAACTGCATGATGCAATGACCGGTGTTGGTACCGACGAATGCGTTCTTATTGAGGTACTATGCACCATGTCCAATCACGAGATCCGTGTAATTAAACAGGCTTACGAAGCATGTAAGTTTTGCACGCAATGGAATCACAGTTGTTCATATTAAATATTCCCCTAATGGAATTCCAATTTTTTTCAGTGTATGGAAGAACGTTGGAAGATGATCTAAAAGGTGATACATCAGGAAACTTCAAACGTTTAATGGTATCTTTATGTTGTGCTAACAGAGATGAATCATTCGATGTGGATCCTGCTGCCGCGGTAGAAGATGCCAAAGAACTTCTCAGAGCCGGTAGCTACCATACCTACAAAGCTTAATATTGATGCAAGTCTCTTAACGGGTTTAGACTACCATATCTATATCTTTCACAGGTGAACTGCGTTTTGGTACCGACGAATCAACGTTTAACGCCATTCTTGTTCAGAGGAATGTCCCGCAATTGAGACAGATATTCCAAGAATATGAGAACATAACTGGTCATGCCATTGACAATGCTATTGAAAACGAATTCTCTGGTGATGTAAAGAAAGGTCTCCTCGCTATTGGTATGTGTATACAACTACACGTAATGTATAATTTATAAACGAACATATTAATGCTAATTGTATTTCATAATAGTCAAGTGCGTAAAGAACAGACCCGCTTTCTTCGCTGAACAATTGTACAAAAGTATGAAGGGTCTGGGAACCGATGATGATCGTTTGATCAGATTAGTCGTTACACGTTGCGAAGTGGACATGGGAGAGATCAAAGAAGTCTTCAGACAACAGTATAATGAATCTTTAGAAGACTTCATATCTGTTAGTATATTTAACATAAACTATATCTTGAAAAAGTAAGAATTTGGTCTTAACACTAACAATTTTTTTTCAGGGTGATTGTTCGGGCCATTATAAAAAGTGTCTCTTGGCTCTTTGTTAATATAATCTGAAGCTTTGTAGGTGTTTTACAATGAATCTCCAGTTATACCGCTACTTCTGAAATGCTCATGTACTATAAAAGTATTTCAAATGACTATATGCCTAATATAAATTCACAAAAGTGTCAAACCATGTGATTTGGATAGTACTATTATTATACGATGTATTACAATTCTATAAATGTATGTTCCTTACACTTATCTATTTACATGATACTATATATTTTATAAATAAATAACAGTTACATACTACATAACATGTATTTTGTATCAATTGTTTTAATTAATTTCGACATTACCGGTGACGCGGTGACCTGCGCTCATAGTTAACGTTCACAGCCATTAGCTCGATATTATCTTGGGTTTACACAATACTTTACCAATGATAATATCGATTGTCCACCAATGGTCAGCAATCGTAGATAAAGACGTGGGAATACCCCGACGAGGTCCGCGGACGCGAGTGAAGTGAGGATTTTCCGTGGCGCGCCCGTATTTATGGGCTTGCGGCTACCACGAGGTCGCGAGTTTGCGCCCACCAAAAGTTATTTCTCGATTAATTTATTATATCTAACAAAGTAATTGTTATAACAATTATCTTTCTGGGGAATATTGTCAAACAATCTGTCAGCTGTTTTATAATGCAAATTGTTATTTTTGATAACAAATACGAATCGAGATACACAGAAACTTGTAAGATATGGATTGTTTAAGTGAAATGTTACATGTAATTACTTTCACTTTATTGCAAACTATTAAACAACGATTATGTCTTAATGTTTATGGTGATTGTTCACTGTACATTATTTAATTTAAATGTGTTTATAAAAAAAAAGGTACATATGTTATAAAATCTAATGTTTCATGTGCCGAATATTTATTAATAATTATTATCATTGAAAATTCGACTTTAATAATTACGAAATCTCTTAATTGTTCATTCATTGATGTGTTTACCTAATGTTTAATTAATGTTCAAATAGTTAACGTTAACATAGCATTCATTAAACGTTGAACAACGAGAAACGTTTGAGTTTCGTTCCGAAATCGATTCACGTCAATTTTCCAATGAAACTTTCCTGAACATCAGGTTGTTACATAATTATCTCGGAATTACGAGTTCGACCACGCGTAAATTAAGTAATAGCCGGGGCGATGTTGCTTATGCACTTTATAAGTTTTTGGTATATATATATATATATACATATATATACACATATACATATGTATATATGTCATACGTCAGTCGTAGTTGTGTTTCGTCAGCCGCCTCATCCAAGAGTTTCTCCCCACCATCGGCGTCAAAGCATTCAAGGCAGCGCTGTGTCTCTTACCCACCAGCAGGTTTTCCCTATACCTTTCCTCGTCAGCCTACTTCTATCTCTTTTCACGAACGGAGGTATACGCCCGATAAAACCGGCAGTCTCGGACAAGCTTCCGCGCGATCTACACGTCTCGATCCGGTTTTCATGAAATTTTCCTTTTCTCTTCTCGTGCCGCCTCTCCACTACACATACCAATGAAACGACCACAGAAATCGCGTGAATCAGATCGTTCCACGGGCATCCCGACGATACAGACCGAAATCATCGGACTCGATCGTCGGACATTCGAAAACTAATAAAATTAAGCTATTAACAAATAAATTATTTAAGATTATTAATATCTACCCACCGACCGGGAAGCTTGATCGGCTCGAGGAGCTTTAACAGCAACGGTGTATAGTGATCGAAAGATGGATTTGTCGATGCCGTGGAATTGGCAAACGATACGTGAAACGAGAACAGCGGACACGTGGATCGGGGCCGCACAAGTGGTGGTTGATTAACCCCTTAATAAAACCCGTAAACGAAAGTGGGAGAGAAAGAAGGAAATGGAAATGTTGCGGAGGGAGTGAGAGTTTCTTAATAAGGCTTGTCAATTCGATGACCACACGTTCTAACGCATCGAGATAACGGGACAGGATAGCAGCGCTAATTACCGTTGCACTTTTCGTCGATGATTGTTTCTTGTGGGATTTCCCTCCAAATGCCTCTCTGTTCTCGGTGCTGAAATGATTTAGAACTAGCGAAGAAAAAAAATAAAGGTTTCATCATTGGAATCGACTGGCAAGTTGTGTTGATCGTGATCTTCGCATAGTAAATATTTCGAACCACGACGAATGAGAGCGTGTTTGGGGGATCTAGTAAATTTTATGTCATAAATGACTAATTCTTTCGTCCGAGAGACGGACTTCAGTATTTGCACGAATTAAAAAGAAGAAACCTAGGGGGTGAATTCAATGCGATACACGGTTCGATCGGAAGAAATGAAAATAACGGACCCTGGGTATTCGGGTACGGGTCTCTGTGCTGGCATCCAGGATTTCAATACAAAAGAAGCATGCTAGGCCATGTGAAGGGATTCACTAGACGATTTTGGCAAGGAAACACGACGCATCGCGGCACCGTCGAGAAAGTAAGTCTCGGGTAGTAGTTGGTTAGAGTTCTTAGACTCTGGAACTTTCGCGGTCTGTTCTGCTTTTGTCCTTCGAGTTCGAGAAAGAAAAAAAATGTTTATTTCTTGTGTCTGAGCGATTCACGTAAATCTTTGCACAGTAATCGACGATATACAGTCCACCATGAACCAAACTCAAATGGTTATAATTGTGGCAAAAATTATCGTATCTGTATCATTTAAAAATCATTTGAAAATCTGGAGTCTCTACTTTTTGATGGTTTTAACTGCTTACAGAAAAGGAAGGAATTATCCTAGAACGTTCAACAACAAAGCGATCAAAAAATATCAGTAGTTACTGTTGAAGGCACACCTTATGCTTTTTCGATTTGATTAACAATTCGATGTACTAGGTATTTTCGAAGATATTCTTGAAAATTGCAGATATTCCATTGTTGTGTTAACTCGATGTATCTCGGCAAGAGATGACCGCAGCATCGTGATCCTCATTTTAAAGCGAAGGGTCTGCCGATTCGATTAAGCTGGCAGAGACGAACCCGTTGCACCAACTTTTTACCTATAGCCACTGTGTTTATACCTATGGAGCATTCCCTTGCTTCCTATAAGCAATTCAAGTCAACACGACGAATTTTCCATCAAAGTTCAAGGACTCTGTTGAAAAAAATCACACAACAAACTACGAACGCTCGTTTCACACTGATATAAATGTAACCTGTTTAACAAATTTCATTCGGTCCCAGGTTACATTGCAATGTAGAACAAAATTTGTTTAGATTTACCTGGTGCTTTTTATATCGCTGTAATTTGGCCAAGAAGCAACGCAGCTAGAATCCCGAAAAAGCATCTGAAAGTACAGATTCCACACACTTTCGAATGATATTTCAATGATATCGATACGATCATTTTTATGGAGCTGGAGTTATGGCCATTAAGTATAAAGATTCGTTACGGCGTTTAATTATCTTAACTCTTAATGATTTTTGTCTAGGAATATTTTCAAACGCAAAATCTCTAATCCCATTCGCGTAAAGAACACTAAAACATATCGAAAACAATGGTCATTCGTAAAACGAACAATTTCGAAACGATTTATTACGCATTCAGAAGAACCGCGCGTGCAAAACAATCGTAAAAGATATACGTATGTATATCCTACAACATATTCTCTATCGGACGGTTCTATTGGTTTTTCGTGCGTAGTTGTCTGTCTGTCGGTTATACTATTTATATCTGAAATTTTCTTCCTCGTCAACCCGTCGCGTGAATTCTTTTACAAAGCTCTGGCAAACGTCCACTTAATGTGGCGCAAGGATGCATTTTTGTGCGACGTTTCGAATTTACGCGGTTTAAATGTTATCATTTCTGTCTGGCCTCTTCGAGGTTTGCAACACGGTGCTCACCATTATGTTGCTTTTGTTGTGTCGGCGAATGAAAAATAACACGGTTCATTTGAAAAATTCGGGAAAAATCGCGTCGTTTGTCCGACGTTTTCAAAACAAGCCTCAGAATTTCATTTGTCTTTGTTACAAGTTGAAGATAAATTTATCTTTCGCTATTTTAGGCCAACGAAAAGCAAAAAGAATAGAAAATAACAGGTTTTTATATGCACGTACATGTGTGTCCTGTGACCCGGTAAGTGGTTACGGATGATTCAATTAAGACCGATAAAATGATGGATACCGTTTCGTTTAATTCACTTAAGTGATTTAACGTTGCTATAAACGTTCCGATTTATTTTGCGTTAAAGTAATACTATAATAAAATTGCGGTTCTTGAGAGATTCATCGCCGGAATTGCACCAACGTGGAAACTAGAAGAATCTCTTGAAGATTTTTCTGCTTCCATATAGATACGATAATTATGAGTTTTATTAAACGACTCTGTGATTTCTCTTAATCTCGTATTACCGTGCTGCCTCTCTCGATCGATGTAAAACCAGTTGCAACTCGTGGAAACCGATATCTTTCGAACACAATTTTGTTCCTCGTGATCGTGTTCGTGTTCGTGTTACGTGTTTGCGTGTTGCGTGTTTTGCGTCACACACAGTTGGTTAACACGCGGCTCCGATTCATTGTTTTGCCGTATTCCTGCTTACACATTGTGTACACTCGACAAATTCTGTTTTTCTTTTGTTACAGCCAGGACGCGTGGTCACTCTGATAGAAGAAAAGGAGGTAATTACGCGTTACACGGACAGTTTTTTTACTTTTTGATTCCCAAAATCTCGCGTACGCGGTACACCGGCATATTCGACCCACGACGAGAGTTTTGAAAGAATGATTTCAAAACCCATCGATTGAAAGTTAAACGTTTCGTCGATTCGACATTGTTCCCGCGTATTGACGTATTTTCTGACCGATTGTAACTAGCACTGCAACTATTCCTTACTATTCGAACTATTCGAATAGAAATAATTTATTCGAGGAAATCGAATAATTCGAACAGTAAGGAATATTCTTATATTTATTTATTCATTTAATTATTAAACAGGTATAAACCCAGCATAGATGCATAACAATTTAATGAAAATACAGCACTAGTTGTAACATACAATCTGTTTCTTTGTTAACAGGGCATTGTTTATGGACGAGCGTTTCAAGTCCAAGATAGCGCGGCGCTGCCATATTTGGAAAACCGTGAGTGCACTTTGGGCGGATACATAACAACATTTTCGACGTTTTACAACCGAGACGAGAGCAGAAGCTTTCCTGTAGTCATTTACATAGCCACCAATAGGAACGAGCATTGGCTCGGGGAAGCACCGCTTCATCACATCGCTGGTCAAATTTTTGAATGTACCGGTCCGAGCGGACATAATATCGAATATTTGTTACGGTAAGTTTGTTGATCGTTGAAATCTAAAGGGATAGACCAATATCAAAGGTAAAAAGTCGATTAGTTTATCGGTTTCTCCGCAAAGAATCCGGAACGTAGCATTGTGTTTACATTGCATTCGATCGTTTGTCTCTTAATCACCTTTAATCCGTGTTTAAGGGAACACAGATTACGAAATTACGGGGACAAAGAAGATAATCCTCCATCGTGATTGTAACTTTTTTCGTCTACAGATTAGCGGAATTTATGCATCGTTATCTACCGGAGGCCCATGACGAACATCTATTTACTTTGGAGCTTTTGGTGCGCTCGCAGATAAAGGAGCGAAATATGTGTTTAAGGACGTTGATGGGCGACCGTGACTTCTACATCGACATCGATAACGATGAAATAGACGTCGATAACGAAGAGCACAACGATGACGTTAACGATCTCAGGGAAAATACGTTCCAATTTATTATAACTGTACCGCGGAAAACTTTACGTTGTCTAAAAATGTAGCTCTTATTATACGTAAGAGCTACTCACTGCACGGAAGTTAATATTTAAAGAGATTATAGAAACAGTTGTCCATACTTGTGTGAGACGAAACATTGCGTAAATCAAATTTGTAACACGGATAGGATATATTTTTTCAAGTTTTTCGATAATATTCATGTGATATTATCATATATGTGATAATAACATCAGCGAACTAAATGAATGAAGAGTTCACGGCATCGGGCGTTTTTGGCCGTTGTGCAAATTATATTTTAAGAATTACAAAGTGATATATTATATATATATATATATATAGTGGCAGCTCGATAGATTGACTTACTTCAGTATGTCATTGAAACATTGCGCTTTTTGTTCTAAACAACATGCTGGACGCTGTTCACGATCGTATTCCATTATCTTGGATCGTGCCTTAATATTATTTTATGGTATATAATTGCACAAATCATTGTTCCTACAATTCTTTAGGTTACAAATTGACACATCTTAAAGACTTTTATACATTTCGACACGCGTATGTTATTATGTAACAATATTAAAATACTTTTATCGTAAGATAAACGAGTTGATTTTTATGTCCCAATCGAACCAAAATAAATCAATACAATTTCATTATCGATGATACGAGAATAGAATGGTTTTTTTTTCATACTGCCATAACAAAATAATACTTTGGAGAAGTAGAATACAAAAACGTACGTAGAGGTGACAGAAAATTAGTCATTTGGAAATTGGCGCGAAACATTATATGTACATCCATTACAAAAATATTAAATATCCGTGGCTCCATCTATACTGCCACATTCAAGCTGCTAGCCAATTAATATTATATTCTTGCCACTGGATGATGCAATGTGATTATTTTGTATGCACCGTGTAGCGCCATCCAATAACAAAAATACGGTATTAACTAGCTAGTTGTTTCAACGTTTTGCCGTAGATGGCGTTACCGATTTATATTGTACTTTTAATGGTCCTTTATACGATAGTGAATTTAGGAATTACATTCACCTCCATTCGAGCCTAGCTAGCCAATATTCTATAATATTGCCAAGTCTAATAAAGTATGCAATATTATCAGTTACATCCAAATCTCATCAAAGAGACCGCTATTGCAATTGGATTCTCTCTACATTATTCCATAAGTTTAAACTCTATTACAATTGAATTTGTACAATTATCGTAAATTGTATATTTTCTTTAAACAAAAAACAAAAATAAAACACTATGTAATGCAATTACCTTATTAGTAACAATCGTTAAAGAAGAAAATCAATTGCTGTCTGCGGGTAAAGACGACGAGACCGACATATGATACATCAGTATTTCTATTTATGTAATGTCTATACAATTTCTCAGAAAATATGTAAAAATAAAATATGGAAATACACGCGGCGTAGGAATTGCTCTTGCATAAAACAAATTAAGAACAGGATAGGTAAAATTTCGTTATTGCATACATTTCTTAGAGCTATACAGTGAACTTGACTTACTTATGTGGCTTTATCTAGCGTAACATGTATACGTTCGCAATCCTAGACGATATTCTATTATTCCACATATGTACATACTACATCGAATTATTTTACATATTTAATATAGTACATCCATGCCAATGTTTAAATGTATTTCAAATCGCTGTTATGCAATAGCGACAGTGTATACAGACGCGAGTGTTCCTACCTATACGATATTGCGCAGGAAGAACACGAACGATTAACAACGGGACGATTTTCATAATTTTCGGTAAAAATACGAGGAAAAAGGGAGCACTGAATTCTTGGTTCCGGCGTGACGGCGTGACGGCGTGACGGGAGGGGGGGCTCGAAAGATCTTCGTTATTATTTCAGCGAAACGAAGCGTGCATGGGTGCACGCTCGAGTTGGCTCATGTACGAGTTGTTAACTTCTTCGTGGCGGATTCTGACCAATTTATTACGCACAAAATTTGTTGTTTCATTTTCTATTGTCGTTACTGTTTGAAATTTTCATGAAAATCATTCGGGCTAAGTTATAACGATAATTTCTATACACGTCCAAAACCATATTACCGTAAATAATATTTTCTCGAAGTTTCGAGTGATTCCCTCCTTCATTTATTAAACCACCAATCGAATACGGTTTGATGTTGAAAAGAATATCCGTAATTGTATAGAAAATTCGCAGCATGGTGGCTACTGTTAGCCAAGAAAAAAAAACGGGTAAAGCGAACAGTTTCCAGATCTCAGTCACGGGTGAGGCTGAATCGAAAGAGAAAGAAAAAAAAAAAAGAGGGTTCCTCTACGAGTGGAAAGTTTGTTCGCGGTTACGTTTCGCAATTAACGATTTAACGACTAAATCGTCGAGACACGAAAAGAATCGCGATCAAGCATTCTCCGTTGGAAAGAATTTCCATCGTGTGTTCAGCCGCGGCGCGGTGTACGGGGATACAAGCCGATATTTTTACATTGTTGGTAACCCAGCGCGTTCCCGGTCGACGCGGACGACACTGAACAGGGGAACGCAGGAAGAGGATCAAGAAGCTCTTCGGCTCTTTACGGAACGCACGTAGAGACGAACGTTCGTCACGCATCGCGGCGATAAACCCAGCCAGGTATCTCCGGGATAACGTTACTCCCAGGCTACATGTGTGTGTATATGTATATTGTATACGCTGTCCTGTAATTCTATTAATGCATCCGCGGACAGAACGTTTGAAAAAACCTGCATGCCGGTTTTCACAATGAACACGGAATTTTTCTACGAAACGCCCCAAAAATAATATGTCCCGATTATTCTTTACACATAGTATGCAGTGCTCTAAAAATCTATAACCCCTAATGATACACGAGTGTATCCTAGTTATCTCTTAAGGCGTATTCATAAGCAGACACACGTCTAAGTACTTCGTGATTAAAGATTACCTTCCGATTTTTCGTCATTAGACACGGATCACGGGGGGGGGGGGGGAGGGGAATTCCATGTCCGGGGAAATTGCGTAAAGGAACGGCGAAACGATCGTCCGAGAAACGACTACGACAAAAATACATTTCCGCTGCTCTGCGAGCGGTTTTCGCGGGCTTGTCTGCGTGCGGAAAAGTCGAATACGGTTATACTGTTCGTCACGGTTATTAAACGCGCGTCTCTTTTCTTTTGTTTTGCTACCGCGTGGTACGACAGATACGACGAACGTCCATAAATTCGATCCGTCTCGTGGTTCTTCAACGTTTCCCACATAACTGTGAGTTCGAGGTTATACAGTCATTTGTTTCTAAGTCCTCCGTCAACTTTAATTAATTAACGGTCGTTTAAATTTCGCGAAGGATATTACGTACACGCAACTGCGGAAGCGTTACATGTCATACCGTCGACGATAAGGCATTAAAGCGAGTATAGTATGTATTATTAATTATTCCCTGGATCCTTCATGCTCACGAGATTTCCTGAACGGTAAAAGCGACAGTGCTCTACCACACGGTGGCACGTTTCCCCGCGGTTTTTCTGACGTGTAACGAAACAATAAAAACCACGGGAATAAAAAACTAAGGCCACGGGCCTATTTAACAGGCGTAAAACGCGCGGCGACACGTTTTGCAGGCGATTTCCATCACGTTATTGTGTCAAGTACTTACTCACCCATTCAGCGGAGAGAAACACAATCGTAAGAACGCGCGGTTAGGCAAATGTGTTCAAATTTATCGTTTCGATTCAAACCTCGGACAGATCGCTCCTAACATCACGAGGAGGAAAAAAACGAACCGCAACGATGGGTGAAAGTAAACTGTTCCCTCGGTTCGTACTCGACAGCCGATCGAGAGCAGCGCCGTGGACCATCACCATCACCACCACCACCACCACCACCACCGTTACCGGTACCGATTATCCACAAGTAATTAAATTATGCCTCCTTATCGTTACGCGATATGCCGCGACCGAGTGAAACTTGCGAATCAATTATTCATCGGTATTGTCGAGCAGCTCGGTTTTTGCGGAGCGTGAGAGCGGTTAGTCAGGAATATAAAAGCGTCGGGCAGGGCCAGCCTCTTTTTACGGTCCGCCGCGCGCATTTTATCAAAGTGAAATCCTTTCTCTTCCGACACGAGGCGGCGATCGTCGCGCGTTTTACCCGCCGTCTCTGAGCCTGTACCCCCTTCCCCCCACCCTTAATTACACGAATCCATTGCGTTACGCGGAATTACATAAATATATATTCTGTTCAGCGAACTAGAATTACGGTCAAGGCTAGTCGATCGACTCGATTTCTAAAGCGACGCTCGTAGAAAATTATAACAATTACCTGAACGGCTACCACGAACATCAGTTCTTTTAACTTTATTGTCGTTCCTGGTAACACCGCGTTTCGTTCTAATTTTCTAATTTCAGTAGGTGGCTCGACGAGATTTCCGAACGTTTCCTGTATAATGAAATGGTCCGTTTGAGATTATACATTTACGGCTATTAATAGCGGGCGGCACACAAATCCTTAGAAAACGAAACCTACAGCCCCCCTCTTATCGTTTTCATTGCTGTGTTATCTCGGAAGACGGGAGGGTGCTAACTTCTTGAACCTAGTGGCAGATAATTCTACGAGACACAGGTGTGTCAACATCAACGATGGACCTGTTAGGAGCAAGGAAGATACCCCCGTTTTTTTCTTATCGGAACTTTCACCAAAATCGATTATCACCTCGAACCGGACATTAGGTCGCGTTTCCACGGGATCACCCTGTACGATGTTCAACGTGTGTACCGCTAGCAAGTTCACAATGGGATCGTTGTCCCAATCGCCGAGGCTAAAAACAAGATAAATCGACGCGATTTATTTTTGCAAAAGGGATCGAATAGGATCTCTCCATCGTACGAAATGCGGGATTTTCTCGCGTAGGTGCGCATCACGCGATACTACAGCCGCGGATATTTCAATAGCACACCGGCGTGCATAACGAATATGCGAGCGAGCGCGCGCGCGTGCACGGCGACTTCGGTCGTGTTGCCCACAGGCTTCGTTTGCCCCGACACAGAAACCTTTCTCTCTTTCATCTCACGGCGAATAGCATCCAACTCCGTTGGGCCGTGTGTGTATACGTGTGTATGGAACCGAGTGCCCGCGGTTAATTGATGCACCGCCGCGCGTAATGGCGCGGTTAAATGATCGACGAGGTGCACCGGTCGCACGATACCAGGGATAGCACGCTGACACCAGAGTTTAGGATGAATCGGCCGTTCCTCCCCCCTTCTCTTTTTGCGCAAATACATATGTTACCGAGCATGTCGACTGTTTACGCGGCAATTTCCGTCTGCGGAAAGGCTTGACTCGAAATACGGGGCCGGCAACTTTACGCGTTTCTATGGTCCCGAGATTGTAGGCCGCGTTCTATACAGTGTGTCTTGTTTGTTTCGATCGTTGTAACATTCCCGTTCATCTTGAACGCGTTGCAAAATTGTAAAAAAATACGCGATGCACACATGCTACTCCCTAGAAGTAACGAACATTTTACGAAGTGATTCGTACAGATTAACCCTTTGCGGATGGAATGGTTCAAAGCT